CTATTTTTAAATATTCAGTATATTTAAACGTAGTAGAGGACATGTACCGGTATATAAAACCTGCGCCCTATAGTCCGGTGCGCCTTATGTGTGTGTTAAATACAGAAATGGCACACATAACTGAGACTGCACCTTTTAGTACGGTGCGCCTTATGGTCGTGAAAATACGGAAATATAATATATATAAAAAAAAGCTGCTTTCCAAGATTTTTTTCCTCTTTTCGAAGTTACTCGGCATCTTATGATTATGAAGTTTTTATAGTTTTATTTTTATATAGCATTTGTTCCAAAGTTCAATTTAGAAACATGTTCATTGCATAATTGACACCAAACTCAAGAAGGAAAAAAAACTAAGAAATGATTTTAATTTTAAATGATTTCATCCAGGAAAAGCTACAGATGAAACTTTGCCAGTGTGTTCTCCTAAAACAACCATTATGGATCCCAAAAAGCTTCACTGGAATTCACCAAAATAAGAATTAAAGAATGAGGAAGAGGAAAACCCAAATTTATGACGTTTAAAATACATGATTCATGTTAAGTATTTACCGAGGCCGTCTGACTCAAACAGGTAGGTCTCGTCCACGCCGATGTGTCGACACCAGGCGAGGAAGTTGGCTGTGTTGTCCCGAGCGAAGAAGGACCCTGGAGAGGCGTTACACTTGCAAGAAATCTTTCTGACTGGAAAGAGCTGGATGGGAAAAGGAAAATCCACAGTGAGCATCATGGGAAACCTTGTGATCCGACAAAATGCAGACTAGCCACCTTGCTGAGCGCCGAGGGGCAGCTCTGGGCCACCTTGGTCTGCAGGACGCCGATGAGCTGGCAAAGCTTCACGCCGTTGTCCAGGTCCTCCATGAAAAACTCGGCTCTCACCTCCTTTCCTGGAAAATAAAAACAACAAAACAAATGATTGTTAGCGGAAGAACATTTTTCTTTTCTCTGCAAGAAGAGATGACATCAAACACCTTTTTCCTCCTCAGGGGCTTAAAGCGCTCCCACGGTCCCTCTGATGTAAATCAAAGCCTTAGAGACTTTAGAAAGGTCACAGATGTTCTTAAATCAGAGGCAAACAATAACGCCACACTTGGAGATGGCCTGAAGTTGGCGACCATCACCTCTATGCAGCTTCTGGCCCAAATCAGGATACTTTAAAAAGGTCTAAAGAGCTGAAATGCAGGTCAGAATGTCCTCGGCTGCAGCAGCTCTGTACCTGCACACATTCTCACTGACAGCAGATAAATGTCACGTCCTGAATCCCCGATTCAGCAAACAATGGAGTCAGTTTCCAGTCAGCTTCGGTTTCCTCACTGCTCCATTGTGAGACGGGGTGGGGGAACAATGGAGGCCCGTATAATGGCACCGATGAGGGATTCTGCTCTGTGGTTTCCTAAGAGAAGCTTGGAAATTGGAGCATCCAAATCCAGTTACACAGAGCAGCCGTGTCAATAGTTCATCTGTGTTTTCCTGGCCTGCAGGGGAAAACTGTGGGCATGCCACAAACGCACACGGCTGCCGTTTAAAAACCAATTCCATCAAACTGCGTTCGATTAAAAACAAGTCAGACAAGTTAAACAATATCCTGAGAGAGAGAAAGAGAGAGGGAGAACTTTACCCACCCATCAGGCCGCTGAGCCAGATGGCCAGGTCCTCCTGCATGGGCACCAGGGTGGCCTCATGGCGAACCGCCAGCCACTGGTTATACTGGTAGACGTCAGCCAGGCCGGGGCCGTGCCGCTGCAGTAAGGGGCTGCGAGGACTCTGCGGGGGGGAGGCGAACTTCTTACCGAACCAAACCTAGAATAGAGAACAACCGGAACATTTTAATGCTCAACTACAGAACGCCGTCTTTAGGTTGTTTTGATGTTATCAGAGTCAGTAAAATGAAACGGCTTCATTCCTCCAAGTAACAGAGAAGCTATAGTTGACTTTTTCACGCATAATGTCACATGAAGGGACAACCTCTTTGGAAAACACAGAGGATGTAGCAGTCTGTCCTCTATCCACACACCAGCATAACAACCTGACCCAGAAGCTGCTGCTCCCTCCATTTATCACACCCATCTTTATTATGGAGTGAAATCCTTTCCAGTCTTGTTGCAAATAAACATTTTGTAAATTGCGGGAAAAAGGAAAAAAAAAACATTTTATACATCTCATTTTTTTTCAAAAATGGCATTTATCTGTTTTTTTTTGCAAATGAACTCTTTATATTCACAACTATTAAACTAAAAAAAAAAAAAAAAAAAAAAACGAAGCCAAAAAAATAAAGTTACGCTTTTTATTTTATCCCTATAACTTGTTTTGCAATTTAAAATTCTATTCTTTAAAACATTTTTTTTTTTACTGTTTAATCTTTGGAAGTTTTATTCAACCCCCCCGCCCCCCCGGAAATGTCTCTTTTGATTGAGTTTTAAGATTTGCGTTCATTTTAAATTGCGTTTTACGGATCGGGTTTGCTTCACTTCTACTTGATACGAGGGCTCTGCTCAAATTTATGGGCTGCGTCCTCCGAAGGCCAGATTCGAAGGCCGATTATGTCATAGCGCGACGCCGAGGTCTGGTTGGATTCCAAGACTTCTTGTTATGCGGCCTTAAAATGCCTCCTTTTTCCCCGGTTTGCAGGATGGGTTCGGCGTATCCCATCTATCCTTGGATTCATTGCGAGACCAAGCAAGCCTGCTGCTCCGTGATCAAAGGAAAGGTTACATGTCGCCAAACAGTGGTGAAAATTGGAAGTTCAGTTTAATTTAATACAAGTCTGTGAATAGTTCAGTCTGAAATGAGTGAAAATAGTTGTTTTAATGGTTAATGAGGCAGATATGTGGCAGTAATGTTTGATTTATCTAAAGGTTTTTATCTGTTACTGTGTAAATTGGTCTGGCCTACATATTCTAATATATCTGCAGTGTGGGAACTATAAATATGATAACCAATATGCAGCTATGGACATTTTTTCCTGTAATGGATATTAGAAAATGGCAGCAACATCAGAGATGTACAAAATGACAGCAGCATCAACGGACTAACCACATTTATCATCTTGTTATTTGTGCTTCTGATCTGAAGGAAACCATCCAGCGCTGCTGTGTTTCACCAACATGTCTGATCGTATCCATCTGCTTCTTTAACTGATCCCTCACCAAATCTGACATGTTTTTATTGCCCTGAACAAAATGGAAAGAGCAGCTTTCCCCCCCCAGGACACCAGAGGGGAAAATCCACATTCCCCAGCTCTGGCTGATTTTCCAGTTTTCAATCTGGGGAGGAGGGAACCAGATGATGTCCAGTCCAACATCTCCTCCAGACGTTACATAACCACCTCCTCTTCCTGCCGCTCAGCCTTTAATCTCGGTGTCCGTCACATGCGATCAGGCTCTAATGGGACACGGAGCTCAAAGGCTTGTTGTGCCTGCAAACAAGGCGCCGGATTCACGGCGTTCTCACGGGCCAGCAAACAGGAAACCTTCAGGGTCAGAGAAACAGACCGACTGTTCAACACTAACAGAACCTCTGCAGAGGCTTGGAGGCAGCGCTGCTCGCTGGACTGGGAGTGGAAAACGTCCTGAATGACTAAAGCCTCAGAGCAATATGAGCAGTTTGTCCCAACATTAGGAAAATTACTCAATCTGTTGCAGCATAAGTCAAGATGTTGGCCAATAAATCCAGATGGAAGAGGAAGAAACCTAAGAAATAAAATGTAGACTAATAAAATAATCCCAATTTTTCTGACATTAGTCCAACCACTCCCTAGTATGAGCTGCTTCTCCAAGGAATCCTCCATTGGGAAAGTTTTAGTTTCACCTGGTTTAATTCTTTAAAAACAGCTAAAGGAGCCTTTTTCTGTCTGATTATTGATCTAAAAAAATAATCGACAATTCATCGATTATCAAAATTATCTGTTAGTTGCAGCCCTATTTACAACGCAACATTTAAGATCGACTTGAAATGCGTTCAAATCACAAAAAAAAAAAAAAAACTTTAATTGCATCGTTTATTTGGACATAATTGGCATAAAACGGCCATATTAACTAAAAATGTGTCACCAAAATCTGCTGAACAGAGCGTGGAGCAACTCATGGTCCTTATGCAAACTCTGGTCATCTCACTCAGAATAAATTAATCCCGTCAAGCAGTTAAATGCATTCTGGTTGTAAACAGTCATAACCGCCCCCATTGGATTATAACTCAATGTCTTTTAATTTAAATTCCATAAATTAAACCAGATTAAAAACCAGACAATTAAACCAGATCATACAGCATAAGAAAAAAAACATCTGATTGAATAGAATCATTGACTCGACCTAATCACTCATACTGAACATACATGCAGTGACAGTGGAGAGGAAAAATCCTTAAACAGAAAAAAACCTCAAGCAGAGTTGTTTCTTTTCCAGCGATTTTTTTAAATTGTCAATACAATAATGAAAAAAAAAGCATTGTTATTACACTGTAACAAGTACAGAGCAACGAAATCAACTCTGTGCATTAAACTCATTTCCTTGGGGAGCAGTCATTGTGCGGCGGTTAAGGTTCTTTGCTCAGGGAGCCAGAGTGGAGGTCAGTGGGAGTGGGGCTTGAACTCCCCAAAGCAGGGATTAGCATGAAGGGTCTTGCCTAAGCTCATTCCCCCAAACTGGGGTACGAACCCAGGCTTCCTGTTTGCAGGATGGGTGACTTGGCACTTGAGCCACCAAGTTAAATTGGGTTATTCTGCCAGTTCGGATTTGCACTTCCAAACAGTCGTTTCTTATAATTGTCTAACATTTGTCATCACTAACATCCAAATGGTCATACGTTTAATTTTAAACAATTATTAACAAATGTGGCTAAATGATTTTGCCAAAAATCAAAATTAAGATTTTATTTTGATTTTCCTCTGCACAAAGCACAAGCATGTCCAGACTTGTTTGCAGAAGGTTAATGTCTATCTGGACCGGGTCCTTGGAGGTCCGTGAAAATAAGGAGACTGGAAGAGGTTTGCTATGGATTCAAACAGGTCCAGCCTTCTCCGTCTGTCACATTTGAGGAGCTTCAGCAGCAGTGCCGTTGTTGCAAATATCACTGTTCTAGCCCTCACACTGCAGAGATATTGGATTCTGTGCTTAAATGTCAGCCAATCCCATTTGCAATGGACAGATAAAACCTTTCAATAAACAAAACATTACCACCACATATCTGACTCAAAAACCACTTAAAACAACCATTTTTATTAATTTCAAACAGAACTATTCACAAACTTGTATTATATTAAACTGCACCTCCAATATTCACCACCGTTTGGCGCCTTTTTCCTCTGACCACAGAGCAGCCGGCTTGCTTGGACTCGCAATGAATCATGGGATATCCGAGGCTACGTAGAATACAACTGACCCGTCCAGACGTAGCCGCTGAATTCAAACCCAGCGTTTGTGTCAAAAGATGCTTATTACTGTGTGAAGGCTTTTAGCGCATTACCAGGGCCGGAATAAAAAAAGAAAAATTTGAGTCCTACTTCAGTTAATTGCAATTTGGCCAAAAACTTATTTTCGTTAAACTGCAATCATAATGCAAATGAAATGATAATAAGAAATCAAAGAAAACATGACTAATAAAGGGAGCCGCAATGTTTGCATGAAAGCCTTCAGATCGGATAATGCGCAATTAACCTGCAGATAAATTATATTTATATTTAGACTTTTTTAAAAACACATTTCCAGCACTGTGTGCATTACAGACTGAATACAGCTTTTGTCAATGTGGTTCTGTGTTTTATGCATTTTTTTTTCTTTAAAGGAAATATTTCTAAAATGTAACTTTTTAATAACCGTCATAAGTTGGCAGCAATGAAGCTTTTATATACTAGATGCAGCGATCTGATATGGGTTCAGATATTGACTAATCAGCTGGATATCAGATCAATGATGCTGGTCCAGCGTTTTGATCCAGTTATGTCATTATTGACATCATTACAGCGATCTATCACCTCACGGCAGAAAGCAGCACAGCAGCTACTGATGGTTTACATCACTGTGCATTCGATCCATTTAATTTAAAACTAAGACTTTACTCACATGGTGATGTATGCAGTCAATAATCCAACTATAGCATCTATATCTAAATCATATTGACCAAAATTAAGAAATATACAAAATGACATTTCTATTCTAATTTCTCTGCAGCCTTAATGTGAACATCTGGACCAGATGACGATGCACGCTTGTGTTTCACCATTTAGTTCGAGGGGTGAGGAGGATCTGAAATATGACGCAACGATGAGAGAAAACAAAAACAGCCTAATGACGTCAGAACAGAGCCAGGTTCTGGTAAGCCGGGTGCAGGAATGCAGATCCTGGATCAATTCAACCTTTTACCCAGAATTAAATCTTAAGAGGCTCAAGTTAAGAACATCAGAAATTTCTCAGGGCGATTGAACTCCATCAGTGGTACTTTAAGGTTATTTAAGGGTTTAAAATGTCTGGAAACAACAAGAAGATGAGAATCCAGCTCCAGACAAAATCGGTTTGACTCTGTTCTGAGTTTAATAGGAGCTGCGGCGTCGCTCCAGGATGGCCGCTTAACGCTCCGATGTGCCACAGAAACAGATTCAGCTACTTTCCAAACTCTTACCATCAGGGATAACTCAACGTTTCTCCACCTGGCTTTAAAGAATATGCCAATTGATAAACGCCGAGCCGTTTCTGGGTAACGTGATCTTCAGGAGCCATCTGCTGCAGCAGCAGCGCCCTCATGTCCCCATCAACACATCAGCATCAATCTGGACGCTTTTTCCTGCCACATGTTCTGCAAACAGCAAAGCAGCACATATCTGACATTCCCACGATCCCACGCGTCTGGAAGAGTTCTGGTTGCCGAACCAGATGAGAGGGAACCGCTCCTCTGTGGAGGAGGCGTCGCCGAGCGACAAATCTGTAACACGATCCGTTTGTTGTTTTGGGGCTTCATCATTGGGAGGGGGGGGAGAGGAAAGAGTGAGGAGCATTCTGGGGCCACTCCTAGAAGATGTGAGGAGAAAACTGAGCGGAGGAACGTCAGACATGCAGAGGAGCAGCAGCATGGCATGCTGGGACACAGCGGACGGATACCAAAGGCTCAGAGGAATTGGCAGCGATTTTAATGGATTTAAAAAAGCAATCCGAAGAAATTTTTATGGAAAACTGCTTAAAAAGTTTCTAAAAATTCACCCTTAAATGAATGAGCAGTTTAGTTTTTCTTCATTTTAAAAATGCAAATAATCTCATTCTATCAAATATCTGGCAAAAATGAAGGGAAAATAGTTTCCTTTTTCAGAAAAATTGACTTTTATTTCAATATTAGCAGGGAAGATCTTCTTACCGGGATGCCAGTCTGGACAGCCATGAATGCATTCAGCAGAAGTTCACTTCATTCTGTGGAGATGAAAACAAGCCTTCAGAACAAAACCAAGAGATTCTGGTTCAAACCAAAGGTTAGAAATGACAGCAAGAGGAGGAACAATGATTTATGAGGAGCTGATAAAACCTGATGTGTCTAAAATGTGTTTATTATAAATGTAAAAACTAAACTCTTCATTCAAAGCCGAAGCAGTATGTTAGTTTAAACGGATCCCAGACTAGTTCTGATCTGTAGACGCATTCAGACTTCCATCCATCAACCTTACTGACCCTTTATTAGAAAAAGGAAGCAATAAAGCTGGTTTCCCACACCAGCGCTACCCGGACCCTCCATCATTCCTGGGTGGGAGGGTCCTCCAGGGGGAAGGGAAGCAATCAGGGGGACGTAGATCCACCGGCTGAGGCAACCAGCAGAAACTTCCTCCCCGCTTCATGACATGAAGCAACAACATGAGGTTGTTTTGATCAAAGCAGATTGATGGATCGACGTTAGAACCACAATAAAAACAAAACCAACCTGAAAGCAGGACTTACCTTTAAATTAAAGCGTCAGAGTCCGCCTCCTAGCAGCTCATGGTGAGCGAACTGAGCGCTCTCCGCTCTGAGGGAAAGCCAGGGCAGGATGACGAGGCGGGGAGGGGAACCCTGACTAATGAAGTGGCTACGCTTCACTAAGCCCCCCCCCTCCCTAACAATCCTGTCACAGCGGGACCCTCTCACAAAGCATCTATTGTTTTTCTTCCCTCCATACAGTCTCCTCTTCAAACCGGACCAGAACCTCCCCGATCAGAAGCAGAGGAGCGAGGCGGTGGAACAAAACAGCGGCGGGACGACCTTTAGATTTCTAAAGACTCCACAAAGACGTGTTTGACAGAAAAAAGGTCCAAACTCCAGATGTGTGCATCTGGAGCATGACCCCCCCCTCAACATAAGGTCAAAAACAGAGGAGGAAAGAAGAACCGAAGCCAAGAGGAGGCAGAAACAAAACTCTTTCATTATGCAGCTGAAGCCGCCTACCACACAAATTCTCCATCGGTCATCTGACAGGATTGTCCCCACAACCGATTACAAACTGGGGCTAATGAAGAAACTTTGCTTCAGCTCTATGAAACATTAAAAAACAAAAAAAACATTTCAGCATCAGTCAGAAAAAAACAACAACAAATCTTTTGAGTTTGCAGCACTTCTGGAAAAAGGGGTCACACTTTCATCTTTTCAACCATTCTTCTTGATACACTAATATGTCAGTCAATATTAGCAATTATGTGTTATTTTCATCATCTAAATGGAAGCAAAAAACAAAAAAAATCTGCATCATGTAGGAGCCATTGCAGATAATTTGGATAACTGATCAGACGTCGGGGTATTTACCAGCAGATTTCTGTGTAGCAGGTTGTTAGGCTACACTTTATTCAGGCTATTGAACTTTATTGAGCTCACATTGGAGAAATTAACTCTGTGCATTTAACCCTCAGGGAGCAGTGGGCTGCCACTGTGCGGCGCCCGGGGAGCCGTGTGGGTTTGAGGATTTTGCTCAGGAACCCAAAGTGCAGGCTGTGGTGATCAAAGCGAGTACTTACAACCTTCTCAGAGCACAAGCGCACATCACTCCCCCAAACTAAGCTTTTTCTTAACTGATATCTGGGCTCCATCCAGATCATTTCAGCACTACCGCCGGTTACACTGAAAGATGTCAAAAAAAAACGCGCTGAAATCAGGCTGATTTATGAGCGTAATCGCAGCGGAAACCGTTTTCTTAAACATTTACCGCCTCGTTTGCACATATACATGAGAGAAGCCAGCGCTCTTCAGACTGCCATCAATTCACAGTGACAGCTTTCAGGCAGGCGAACACCTCCACTACCACCCTGCCAGCAGACGGAGAGCCAGCATTGTATGTAGGGGTGAAGTTATTCCCAAATAGCTCAAAGCGAACCGACTGATGCTCATTTTTGTTTGTTTTTCCTTTCCTTTCCGGTGTGAAGAAATTACAGCCCAACCAGTGGATCAGAGCAACATCTCTGGGTCAGTCTAATAATAAAAACAAGTGAGTTTAATTAGCAAAAGAGGAAAAAAGAAATAGATGCAACATAGTATAAAAAGAAAATTCAGCCCCTTTGCTTTGGTCATAAAAACCGTGCATACGTGTAGCTGATTGTTGGAGCCCATATTGCTTCTTTCTGTATTTACAAGAAAAGGGGGAGGGGGTGGGAATGATGTTGCACAACTTAATAAAAAAAAATTAAAGCACATTAAATATATTTTTTCTGATTTTTTGTATTAGTTTTGTTTGTATTCTAAAAAGCTCAATAAAAATCAAGTTACGGTATATAAAAAAAAGCATGACATTAAATCAAGGAATGATAGAAAAGGAGTTGCAAGGCATGCTGCATTATTTCCTGTGATCTCAAAGCATTGCTGCTGAATGCAATGAGCAGTTGGAGTATAGGAATATCATTCCAGCTCCTATCCTGATTCACAGCATCAGAAAAAGTAAAGCAAACTCCTCACTCCTCCCCTCATCTCATTTTACAAACATGTTTCTTTACCAACAGGAAGCTATAACCTTTCAGCAGCCCAGCCCATGAAGGGGGGAGGCTAAAGATTAGGGTCATGTCAAAGAGGTCTCCAAACAGTCAAGGCCACAGGGATAGAAAGGTTTGATCAACACAGCCAGTTATTGTTGTTGAAATGATTAAGCAGTATTCAGCAGCTAATCCTACATCTCCTGAGAGGCGAATGTTGTCGCTTTGGTATGATTTGGTGGGGGGCCGGAACAAAAGACAAACCAGTCCAAAAATCAGATCGCACCACATTCCTGAAAACAAAGAAGGATTGAGGGGAAATGAGGCAGAAAAACAACCTGAGTCGTGTTTAAAGGTAGGTGGAAGAACCTGCAGTTCATGGTTGGAGCAGCTTTGAGGAAAACTGACACCTTCAGACCGAGTGAACTGAAATCACACAGTATTTGGGAGTTAAACATCTCCCAGATACCCTTATCTCCTTGGATGAATGCAACATGCTTCCTGGGAAATAAAAGAGCAGCACCTCAGACCCTTAAAGGAGACCCTGAACCCAGCTGTAGTTCAGACATCCTGAAGGTGTTCCACGTACACGCCGCCTCGCCTCGCTCTCTAGTCACAGCCAATAATCATTTAAGAGGATCAGGGGCTATTCCAGACAGAAGAGCACGTCCATGACGCTCCGTCACCAAAACACACGGCACGTGGCGCACCCGGGGAGCCCGCGGCGCTCCGCTGATGCATGCAGGCGCTCGTGCAGAAGCGCAGAAGAAGCAGCTCGTTACGTAACGACTGGAACACGTTCAGGAAGAGAACGTCCTCCTGATTTTCCGCTATATGGCATCGTCTGAATCCAGGGCATAAAAACAGGAGTAAAAATAAACTGCAGCCTGCATCTGTTTATTCCTCAGGGATCTTTTTGTTCATCATCAAATGTGTTCCAGTATGGAGGACAGTGAAAAAGAAATGCAGTTATTTTAAATCAGATTTAGAAATTCAAAGTAAAAAAATATCTTTTCTTAACACAACACATTTTGATTTAAACTATAAAAAAATTATTATACATTGCGTTTATGGACCCATTATTAAATGGTGCAATTTGAACATTTTAAATCCCATCAACTTTTCTCAAATATTTTAAGTTAAATCTTTTTCACTATACATGCACATTAGGGATGCAACTAACAACTATTTCGCTAATTGATTAGTCTATCAATTATTTTATTTAATTAATAATCGGATGGTAAAAAATTATTGAGGATTTTTACACATTTAAACAAAGTTAAGCCAAAATTGTGCCCTTTGAGGACTGTTTAAATACAGCATTTTAATAGTTTTCATTTGACTTACATACAAAATGTTTATATATTTTGGTATAACAGCTTTGAGTGAGTTTCTCTTTCGGTTTTAGAGAGTCTCTATAGTCAAGTTAACAATTAATTTATATCTAAAGATGACAATAATTGAATAATCTGATGAATCTATTCAGTCTTAATGCACATATACACCCCCTCTAAACCTAACCACTCCTGATAAGCTGTAGTTTGGTCACAGATATACTAAATTGAGTACAAAAAATAATATTAAAGGAGTTCAAAATGTAAATTGGAAAAAAAACCTAAAGGAATGACCTTTTTAAATGTTTCATAAATAAAGGCATTACTAATCAGATTACTTGTGATTTTTATATCTGAATTTAGTAAACATTTTGCTTTATTTCATAATGGATTAGTCAATTAGTCTTTAGCAATTTATTTTAAAATGGGTAATTTTGAAAAGCTTTTTGAACTGGAGTCCTAAATCTATGGTTTAAAAAGTTTATTTTCTGCCCACCACACAGACTCTACTGGTCCTCCATATTCCAGACATTTTCTGCGCGTTTGAGTCAAAAGCAGCAAAAACTATTCTGCTACTTTAAGTTTAAACAGAAAGCAAACATCTGAGCCACATTAACAACCAGGGCAGTCAATGAGCAGCAACCCCCCCAGGCCTCATTCCACTTTATTAAGGTCCAGAGGGGTCCTACTGGACCGAACTGGTCCCCAGAGAATAGCACCTCCTCCTCTATTAGACTCCTTCCTGCTGAGCCCTTTGTGTCTGGACTTAATTACTCGATTGGAGCGGCGTTTCATTTAGAGCCAGGCCTCCTCCCTTCCACCGTGTCATCCAGGAAACTCATTCAGCTGAACAGAACCGAATGCCTCCGCTTCATCTGGGCTTTGTAGTTATTCAACACCCCAGTCTGAGCAGCTCTACTTAAAGTTTTTAAATAGCACAATACTACAACCTTTAGAGGATTACATTCATCGGAGCAGACCTCCCCATCCTTCCTGCAGCAGCCTCTCCTTAAGGGTGGGAGACCGAGAGTAAAGCCCATCTTAAGGGCTTGACTGAGTGGGCCCACCTGCCAATCCAATTTTGATTTAATGCTAATCCACAGCTCGCTTTACGTCACACCGCCATATTAAAACAGTAACAACCCAGGAGCAGCTTTAAAAAACACAGGAAACTGAAAAAGCTCAGTACAGATGGTTGGTTTGAACCAAACCAAGAGAAAAGCTTGTAAATGACTGAGTTTAGAGTCGACACTCAGACTGAGGATACAATCAAACCCCCACATTAATACGGTAATAACTAATAAAATTTAACTGAAATTATCTTATTTTACGTACAGGATGAAACAAAAATCAGAATGCAAACTCTTTTTACAGTTTTAAAGCTTAACTTATGTAGAGTTTCTGCTTTTTAGCCATTTTCTACCAGATAAATCCAGTTTGTTCTGGTAGGGCCCCGTTTTTGTGGTTCTGTTACACAATTAACCATATACCAGTTCCAAAATTACAAGCCTCTTAGGCTACATTCACACTGCAGGCCTTGATGCTCGATTCCGTTTTTTTTTTTGTTTTTTTTTGTGAAACCCGATTTTTTTCGCGTTGCCGTTCACATTTCCAAATATATGCGACTTGTATGTGATCTCCTGTGTGAACTGCATTTATTCAAGGCAAGTGTCTCGCATGCGCAGTAGAGGACGCAATGACGTCACAGGCCGGCGTGCTCTGTGTTTACGGAAGTAAACATGGATGGTAGTGCCAGGGCGCATCTAGTGGTCTTTCCCCAACCATAAAAACACAATCTTTTCAAGATTGTTAAACATAAATGCTGCCCTCTGCATCATCATCCGCCATGGTTGTTGTTTTTCTTGCCGCTTCTCCATAGCAAGACCTAGAATAGTGACCTGTGTCGGGTATTAATGGCGTTCAGGATGAATGCGACCTGGCGGTTCAGACACAGGTCAGATTCGTATAGGATTCTGGACCACATAGCCAAGTGGCCTGGGTCGCATTGGAGAAAAAAAAGGAGAAAAAAAAAAAAAAACAGATCTGTGTTGTTCAGACAGCCATGATAAGAACCCAGAAACAAATCGGATTTGGGTCACTTCACTTTGACACGGATTACCAGACCAGATAACTGCTACTCAGACAATGTTCATGACAGAACTGAACTTCCACCACAAGAAAACATCCTAAGCTTCAAAGCAGCACCTGCTGACATCCTGGTTATTTAGAAGGAATCAATCAGAGAAAGGAGGTATAAGAGAGGAAGAAAGACCACGGGTCGGATTCGAACCCTGGACGACTAAGGCCTCGGTACATGTGGATTTCCCCTGTCTGGTCTTCCATCGCTCAGAGTGAAATCAGCTCATCATCTTATTGTGAAACAGGATTATAAAACCAGCAGGTTTCACAGATTGAGTGTCGTTGCCCTTTAAATTTAGGTCACCTTCCAGAGGGGATGGTTTTCATAAAGGCTAGCATGAATCAGACCCAGTGGGGAATGTTAGAAAAGACTATCAGGTCATTTTACTCAAATGGATAACAATAGTCTACAACAAAAAAAGACCCATTTGTTATTAACCAAAAGATTACTTAAACTTCAAACCGAAGCCGAGTGGTTT